CAGAATAACTGCTCAGCACAGGACAACTGGTGGGGCCACATTAAGCTGCTATTGTTATTGCCATAAAAAGTAAAGAGACAGTTTTATGCAGACACTGTGCCCTAATTGAGGAGGACATAATGGATTTCAACTAAGCTTTATTTAAAATACATTAAGGTTTTTGGATTCCCTTGACATTCTAAAGGACTCGGGGGAGTTTGGAGCCCCAAGGTTGAGAATCACATAGGTGTAGAAACCAACCTAGAGGAGGCTCTTGCTCAATCTCACCAAGTAAGATTTAACAGTAAGACGCAGGTGTTCAGATTCATCTTTCTATTTATTGCCTTGCCTACTGCCTGAATGTGTAAGAAACCAGGAAATAATGGGTAAGTCTCCTACTCCCTCACTAAATATACACAGTAAACAATATGGATTCCTCAGAGAGTTGGGGCCCTCACAGAAAGATCAGGTTTGGTTTGAACCTTGAAAAACCAATAAATCTCTTGGAAGGGATTTTCTTTAAAAAAAGAAAGACAGGAAAAAATATACTATCTTAAAATGTTCATGGATAGTCAGTCTGTTTGAACACCTAACTTTCTAAGCACAACAAATCTAAAGTACCCTTAATCATTACCAGAGTAAAACAACTGTTAGAGTCTTCCACACTCTCCCAAGGAATTCAGGCAATTCTTTGGAATAGCTTCTTCTCCCTCTTAACATCACATTCTGCACCCCCCCCCCCCAGCTTTACCCATTTGGCAAGAAAGGCGTTCTTGTTACTGTGGTCTTCTCTCCCCACAGCATTGGAAATTTGCTGAATAATTTGTTCAAGTTACCAGGAGTGATTCCAACTGTATCCTCCACATTCACTGGCAATTTTGGAAGTGTTTTGCCTGGAAACAGGATTAAGCCTTTTACTAGTTGGATTGGGAAAAGGCCACACAAATTCCTTGGCAAAGAAGTCTCAGAATCAAACTCTTTTATTTCTCACTTTAAATGTGTTATAGAGTTGTTGTTGTTGTTCTTTTGTAGTTCGTTATTCCATTTAGAAGTAAAATGTCAGCAAAGTGACAATAGGCATTATTGAAGAATCCTTTACTGTTTTAATTTACTAGGGATACAAATAGAAAATAGAAACCAACAAAAAAAGAGATTTTCCCCTTTAAATAATCCAGAAATTGTAATACTAAGAAACTCTGGTGATCACCTAATTCAACCTCCTAGAGAAGAAGGCATTTGGCTAGTATGGTCAAGGACTTGGCCAAGTTCTGGAAGGAAGTTCTCTGAAGAGGAAACAAGGAGAACTGGGTATTAGTAACTGTAAGACTATGGATAAGTGACCACTGCTTTTCTCATTCATAAAATGAGTGAAAGAAGAAGACCTTGGAGAACATCCCCATCTGTTCAACTCTAAGACTCCATGACTTTGGTGAGACTCTAGGCCATTCTTAGACCCCATGGCTCCTGATCTGCAGTTCAATGATATTTCTGCTAAATCATACAGTTACTTTCTCAGATTTGATCAAAGTAATCAAAATGGATGGACAGCTGTCTCCATAATCCATCTACATGTCTTCTTTAATAATACCATGGTATAATTATTTAATACTTATAATTTTAATAATTTATACACCTAGCATCTCAATTCATTTCATTCATTTATTAAATATTAGACCAATTGTTTTCAAGTAACTGCCAATGATCAGCACTATAAAAAATGCTAGGGAAAAATTCTTGAAGATGACAAGGTCTCTACCCTCAAGAAATAGGTAATCTGTATATGAATGTGTAAATATTATTCTTTCTCTCTGATAGATGAGGTAAGAGACACAACGGGAAGTGAATGATTCACCACGGCCACACAAGGAGAATGAGGCAAACTTTAAGCTAGAACTGAGAGCTCCTGGCTGTTATTCACATGGTCTCATCACCAAATTCAATTAGGCTTGCCTGATACATTTTTTTTCATAGCATCCCTCCACCCACTATCATATGCAATACAAAATAAAAACAATACTTTAACACAAAACTTTCACATAAACTAAAATTAAAACTGCTTCAGAACAGTACAATTCTTTTTATTTTATTTTAATTTTTTTAAAGATTTTATTTATATATTTGAGAGAGAGAGAGAGAAAGCACAAGCAGGGGGAGCAGCAGAGGGAGAGGGAGAAGCAGGCTTCCTGCGGAGCAGGGAGCCTGATGCAGGGCTTAATCCCAGGACCCTGGGATCATGATCTGAGCTGAAGGTAGACGTTTAACCGACCAAGCCACACAGGCACCCCCCAAAATAGTACAATTCTGAGTTCAGGCTAGAATAAAACTGGAACAAAAAACAGTGATGTAAAAAAATCACATGTTCATAACTAAATTCTTTAACTGCTATAAGTATGTGTTCTTAGGATTAAGAAAGAACAATTTTTGGTCCAGTCCCAGTGCCTCATAACTCTGTCCTAAACCATTCCCAGGAAAAATGACAAAAACTCTGATTGATGAATTTGGAACTTCTGCTATTTGAATCTTTTCATTTACCTCTTCTATTTTTGGTGGTTTTCTGAATCATTTTGTGAGCCCAGTGCTCTAGGAGCGTTTAATTGTCTGAATCTCCAGAGCTCCTGCAAACAAGCCCCTTATAACTGTGAAGTGCTACTATTGAAAGCAGACCCTGTAAATAAAAGATCTCATCCTTTGTGAAGAATGGGAAATATAACTTTATACCTGAAGATTATCTCAACAATTAAAAACATTGAAATAATCATCTGAAGTTTTATATACCATTTATATCTGTCAAATTTGTAGATAGTGTCTCTATATTGTCAAATTTCTAGATATTGACAACTTCCACAGTTGTTTGGGTTATCCTGTTCATTTTTCTCATAAAACTTTTGCATAAAATTATAGGTCTGCTTGATGTCATATAGTCAATGTCTTGACCAGGGAATATTTGTTACAACCATAAATTATGCTATAGCAGCAATGTGGGTTCTTTATGAACTTAAACACAATTAAAAAACAAAATAGCAAAGAACATTTTTCATCATCATTAAATGTCATGAGATAATTTTTTCCAATCTGTTATAACTGCCTATGAAATTTAAAAAAGAATAAAAAACACCATTGAATTATTTTGTGTGAGATCTATTCTATAATACTATTAAACTAGATTCAAAAAAATTATGCCTGTACAGTAATAATTGGCTGAAAATATCTAATTATATTGATCATTTCTTGTACCTTAACCTATTTCACATATTCTTAACTACAGTAAATGTGTTTTTATTGCTTTTTAAAAAGTACAGTATGTTTTAAAATTCTATTCAAAATGAAAATGTTCCTGGCATTAGAGAATTAAGGAAATACTAATTCAAAGACAAAAGTTTTCCATTTAGTTCAAAATTGCCCTTTAGCCTTTAACCTACAATCATCTTATCTGTGATTAAAAAAATACAAGAAGAGAAATACCAAAAAATATCAGTATGCTTGTGAGACATTTTTGCCTGTAACTTTCCAGTGTCCCATGGAAACATTGCTCTCTATAGATTTTATTTCAATGAAAGTCACCTTTTTTTGGATGCTTTTAGATTTGTATGCTTTGAGGTTTGTGCAAGTAGACATATTTCCATTTCTTTCTATACCTTGGTAAAATGAAAAATATGATATTGTCCCTACAGCTTTGAGGCACCATTCATATCAAAGTCTAGTTCAGTCACTTCAAATGACAGTAAACTTCCCCTCATTTTCCTGTTTTCCTCCCCTTCTTACACTTTGGTGTCTCTCAAAGAAAGCCCATATCATAACTTTAATTCAGCTAATTCAAAACGCTACATTATTAAAATGTTCCACTTGGGATAAATAATCCACAAATCTAGCCTTGAGCCTTCAAGGAAAACCATGGTGGTTTGTCCTCAGGTAAAAGGAGAAATAGCCATAAGTAGTTCTTTTCAAACCATCCGTTAGCATTAAACTTGATTCTCAGAGAATGCTTAGGGGTAAGTGGCATACACAAAAAGAGATTCTACAAGCTAGAATGAACAAACTCTGTGTATGCACTATACATATTAATATTTCCCCTATTTTAAGATGAACTTCCATTCTCCCCAAAAGAAAAGATGCTTTTATTTATCAACCTTTGTAGTATGAATTCTGCATATTACAGATCCAAATTACTTTGGAATCATACTCAGTGATTCTCAACCTTCACTTTACACATTCATTTAGGAGCTTTTAATTTTTTAAAAAAGATTTATTTATTTATCTTAGAGAGCAGGGGAGAAGGGCAGAGAGAGAGGGAGAGAGAAACCCAAGCAGACTCTGTGCTGAGCGCAGAGCCCCATTCAGGGCTCGATCTCATAACCCTGAGATCATGACCCTGAGATCATGATCTGAGCCAAAACCAAGAGTCAGTGCTTAACTCACTGCACTACCCAGGTGCCCCCACTTAGGAGCTTTTATTTATTTTTATTCTTTTATAAGATTTTATTTATTTATTTGTCAGATTGAGAGAGAGCACAAGCAGGGGGAGTGGCAGGCAGAGGGAGAAGCAGGCAGAGAAGGAAGTAGGTTCCCTGCCGAACAAGGAGCCAGATGTGGGACTCAATCCCAGGACCCTGGGATCATGACCTGAGCTGAAGGCAGATGGTCAACCAACTGAGCCACCCAGGTGTCCCAACTTAGGAGATTTTAAATCCAGCAGAAGCCTTGGTTTCATTCAAAGATTCATTCTCACTGGTTCAGAGTGCAATCTGAGTATGGTTATTTTTTTCAAAGTTCAAGGGATGTGTGTCATTTGCAGCCAGGATTAAGAACCAGTGACCCAGGGTAAAAATAACTTTATTATGTAGCATTTAATTGACCTCTAGAAATTCACCCAACCCCAATATATGTTGTGTATGTCACACTTAACCAAATATTTTTTACTGGAAAATGGATGTCTCTAAAAATATCAAAGCATTATTTGTTCAACATTCTTTGAAAATATGTCATAGAAGCAATATTTCATAATAATTCTCCCATTATTTCAG